AAAAAATTCGAAGTGATTTTGAATAATCATTTAATTTATACTTCACAAGTCTTGTCAGAACATGTAAATTGCTAATTAAGGTTGAAATATGAAACCTTGTTTTTGGGTATTTATAGGTTTATATGAGAGTTTTAACATGTTAAATTATGAACTATGCTTTGTTATTATCCTGTTTCTTGTGGTTCAGTGGGTTGCAAATGGAAACAGAATGAGTCAATAACTCTTTTTTAAACATGGTGTCTGTAGGAAGCACAACAAAATCTGACCAGCCTTCGGGCTCTGGGAGTTCAGATGGCAATGGATGCTCCTCACGGAAGCGGCCAAGAGAAGGGAGTTTGGGAGGCTGTCCGTCTGATCTCAACTTGCCTGTTAAGGTCATTGACAGGAATTGATTATTAGAGTTGCTCCTCAGACTAGACGTTAGTGTATATCTCTAATTGAAGAGCTGGTGTGTATGACTGTGATGATCACTCAGGAAATAATACTCCTGATGTGTCAACTCCTTTTTTATTTTCATTTGTTTGTGTTGATATTTGAGGTATCATGGAAGATAGAGAAGTAGGACTTTTTTGTTCTTGAATCTTCCTCTTCTCTGTCTATATAATAATCCTTGGTTTTGTGCAAAGCCTTGTAACTAGACTTTTGTGTGCGTTAGATTTGTATATTATCCTCTAGAAATTTGTTACGATCCTACATTGGTTAAAAATAAGATTAGATGTGTGTAGCCTGTTTTCGGGGACAAGTTGTATCTATAACAACATTGACATCTAATTTCTCTGTTTATGGATAGAATTGCAGATTATATGAGGATCGAAATCATGAGATCACAAGATGTTGCAGATTTTCTTCCACAGATTTCCTTGCGGAGGCTGCTTTAAGCTTATTCCTTTATTCTTCATTCTTCCACAGAAATGGTTTGTACCTTTTTCCTCATTCTTCGTTCCTCGATCAACCATTCAATCGCAGGACAGCTTAGATCATTTGCAGCTTAGAATCCCACCCGCATTGCAACTATTATAACCCTACATACAACCACCCTACATACAACCACCGTTACGACCACAGTTGCCTTATCACCATGACTGCCTTCAACCAACTGTTGTCACATTCACCTCCACCGCTACCACTCAATTACCATCACTGCTGCTACGGATACAATAACCACATAACCACCACCACTACTGCTATGGCTACAATCACCCCACAACCGCCACAATTGCCCCAAACCATCATAGCTGCCACCACCCAACTGTCATCACCATTACCACCACTAGACCATAATTGTCATCACCACCACCCCATCATCGCCACTCCACCTCACCATCATTGCCACTATCATCTCCAATTACCATCTCATCACCGTTTGTCATTACTCCACTACAACTCTAGTTGCCGCCACCATTACACCCATTCCACCACCATCGTCCCCCATCACTTAATCATATCCTTGCCACCATTGCAACTACCAACTTTGTCATTAGCATCACCACCATCAGTCTGACAACTACTACACTACTATTTCCACCATCAGTCTTCTAGTTGTTGGACTCCTAGATTCACCAATCTATCAACACATTGATTTCCTTATTGAAGTGTACCTCGAATTTCAATCTGCCTGTTCTTCATCAATTCTTTGCGTTTGTGAATAAGGACTTTATTAGGCAAGTAGTCTTCTGCTTGATTCAGCAGAAGGCGGCAAACATCTTGTGAGTCAGTTTCAACAATAGCTTTAGAAATTTCCTTGTTCTTCAGCATCTCAAGGCCTTTAAAGATAGCCCGGAAGTATTATAAATCTTTCCCATGAAGCCTTTGCAATAATGTCCTCGGTCATTTTTCAGAACTCCACCCACTCCAACTACAGCTGGTCTGGGGGTGTCCCTTCTAGCATCTATTGGTATTGAGTTTGAGCCATTCTGCAGGAGGGAAAAACCAACAAATCAGATTCCTATCTGAGTTTGTTACCACCTCATTGGCACCTTGGAAGGCATTATTTACTTCCATGGCAAATTGCCAAGATATTTTGCAACAATTTAGGGGGAGGGGGGGGGGGGGGGGGGGGGGGGGGGGGGGGGGGGGAGGGCAATGCTAATGCCTTCAATGCACTCTTTGTTCCTATCCTTCCAAATGTTTTAGATGATGGTGGTAAAGACAATGGACCGGTCCATATCTCTCCATTTTTTCCTTTTCCCAACTCTAAAAATAACAATCAACCAATCAAAGAGGTTCAGTAACTTGACTGAGCTATACTCTTGGTTGTCAATGAATGATTTTCAAATTCTTGAGCTTTAGGACAATCCCTAAGAATATGGATGGAGTTTTCAATAGGGGCCTCCCAACTGTGACTCTCAAATTATTTGACAGCAGTCTATCATTTTGTACTAACCACACGAAACATTTTAGTTTCTGGGGTACTTTAAGTTTTCAAATCCAATCCCAGTTGGTTTCGGAAATCCAGGGACAATCATTCTTAATAAGCAGCCTTTTGTGCTGAATTTACCATTACAAGACATACCCCAGCTAGGTGTGCCTTTTGGCATGTTTATCATTTGGGAGGGGTGGGTGAATTTTAACTACGAGTATGAGCGGGTGGGCTTATCATAGTGGTTACTATTACCTATAAGTATGAGTACAAGTATAAGTATAAATATGAGTGGGTGATGTAAAGTAATCATTATCATGTTACGTCAATTTGAGTTTAACGTTAAATTTTTGAAAAAAAAATAGAAGAAGGTATGATTAGTAACAATCCGTAAAAATATCAAATTGAATGTCCAACATGAAAATGCTCGACAATGCAAACACTTGATAGTCGGAATGACTTAATGGATAAGTGCTGACAGTAATGAATGCTCAGTCTCTTAAGTATTAAAATCATGATTACACCCCATTCCCAAGAATTAATGAGTCATGATAGGGCGTACTAAATGACCAGCTCAATGACAAAAGCTCTACTACTGTGATAGCCCTTAAGCAGAGATTTTGATCGTAGACTATCATACCTATAATTGCTGCACTCAAGTGATCATCATGCGATCATTTTTTTGACTGTACGTGTTGAATTAAACGAAAGACGGATGAAAAACGTATAAATTTATAAACGATACATTTAATAAATAGGTAAAAAATTTTAACACAAATACAACCCATTTAATAAACGGATAACACGATATGACTCATTTAACCCGTTTAATTTTAAAAAAATTATTTCAACAAATTTTAATACTCTATTTTTTTTACTACTAATTGCACTTACCTCAAAAAAGAAGAATTTTAAATCAAATCTCATAAAAATAAGACTTTAAGACTTTAAAAAAAAAGAAACAATATGCTATTGTCTTTTATAAGCAACTCACCCTCCTCATTTTTCCTCATTTTTTAATGTGAGACAAAAATAAAAGACATTAGTTTGCTTTTGTTTTTGAAGTGTTCTACAACTTTTCTCTTTTGTCTTTGAAAAATAAGACTTGAAGGTTTTAAAAATAAAAACAAAAGGCCATTGTTTTTTATAGACAACTCAACCCTCCCCATCTCCCCTCATTTTCTAATTGGGATAAAAATAAATGATTTTTGTTTGCCTTTACCTTTGAAAGTGCTCTCCAACTTTTCTCCTTTGTCTTTGAACTACTACTTTACTTTTTTTTTTATTGTTTTATTTATTTCTTTTTTCTTACTAATTTTTTTAAAAAATTATTAATTTATTATTATATTAATTTTATTTAAACGGATAAACGTGTGATAAACGATTTGACAGGTCTCACCCAAACACGATCCGTTTATTAAACGTGTTTGACGTGTCAACCTGTTTATCACTCAAATTCGTTAAAATCTCACCCAAACTCATTTAATTCGTATCGATTAATCGTGTCGTATCGAATTTTAACGGTCATAATACAAATAGCCGAATGAGATAGAACTCACATATTAAACCAAGGTCGCACAATACCCTTATCCTCTTGTTGAGTGCCAACTGACTTATATTTTAGAGGAAATCAGTCAGATATGCGTCACCTTTCTTTTTTATTTATTTATTTTGAGAATCTCGTTCAATTTCAGCTAAGAATCGTTAATTCAAACTTTAAAATCACCCTTACATGATTCTCACACTAAATATAGTGAAATTTGACGAAAATGATAACAGAGGTCAGTTGAGGCCGATATTAGTTTACAACATTGAAGTACAAAATGGACAATCTTTTTGAGTGTAAAAAGCCCTTTTTTATGTGTCATCTTCTGAGAAAGAACTATCACTTAAAAAACTAGAGCCCAGCCAAAACCCTTTTTGGCGGTTCATGGTGCCTCTTTCGAACCCTTCAAAGCTCACCGAAGAGTGAAAGAAATGGACGAAGATCGTATTGGGTTGGTCTTGGCTCGAGCCTCAGAGCTTCGATCCAAGATTACCAACTGCATCTACAAAGCATCTTCTCTACCAACAGACCATATTGCAACAGAAGAGAGAGAAGGTGATGACAGAGAAGCAGAAGCAGAAGCGGAGAGCCTTTTGAATATTCGCGATGCCCTCGAATCGCTTGAAGCTCAGCTATCTTCTTTGCAGGTTTGTTCAATCTCTTCTTCTTCTTCTTCTTCTTTTTTTTTTATCTGAAATCCTTATTTTTTATCTTTTCTTGAAACGAGGGTTTTAATTAATAGCCCTAATTTAATAGTAATATCATTTTTTTTGTTTCGACAGAGTATGATAGAGTATGTGTGAGTCATATTTGTTGTTTGTAAAATGACATGGAAACATGTGCCAGAACGGAGCCCGTTCTAGCATCTGCCTTATGGGATTGATATATTTTATGTACGAGACGCTGATTAGTTTGGGGTTTGGGGGTACAGGATTTTTGTAAATAAGCTTAGGGTTATATAAATACTTAAGATATTTAAGATGTAATTTTACTTTGAATAATGGAAAAAGACGGCTGCTAACTTCTTTGGATGTAGGCACATTGTCGAACTATGTAAATTTTTGTGTTATTTTTTTCTGCTTTCTTAATTGTTTGATTCTTATTATTCACCATAATTGTTGCACAATTACGACATATTCCAACATTAAGTTCTTCATGAGTTGAATTACTGTGGATTTGGAATGGTTAATATGGTTCGAGACAATTCACTTATAACTTCTTTTATTGGTAATTGAAGACTTCATTTGGGTTCTTGAGAAACTGAGAATAATAGATAGCAGCAGCTAGACTTCTTGTTGTTTCCATTTGTCAATTGAATACAAATTTAATAATCTCTTATGGCATTAGAGTTTGGGCAATTTGGTCGGTGTAGGTGCACCTTTGATTACTGAATCTGCAAAAAATAATTTATCTCTTTGATCATGTATACTTGTTGAATATAAGCTGGTGTTAGTGTTGGTGGTGCTTTTTTTTTTTTTTGGGGGGGGGTGGTGGTGGTGGTGGTTTAAGTTCCTGTTGTACGGGATATGCCTAAGATTATGTCAGGACTTGATGATGTCTGATGGCAAAGCCTCTTATGTCAACACACACACACTCAAAGATTGATGCATTTCGAAACAAAGCAAAAGTCTGGGAATTTTCATGAGTGGGCTTTTTCCATGCTTGCACAATGAAAAATTAACTTTGATATAATTTAGTGGCTTCTACAAGTTGTTGAGAGAATCCATCTCCATCCTCTTGGCTTCCTTATCCAATGCAAGCTGATGCACCAATATACTTGCGTTGTCTTCCGGGTGACATTTATTTGATGACTTAAACAGTAGTCGCAGAGTGGTTCATCGCTATTGAATGCAATATACAATTGTATAATGTTATGCTAATTTTGCGTCTTGAATTATATCATTGAAAGAATACCCTGTCCCTGGACGTAATCTCTTCAAATTACTTCTGTGGTGGCAAGCGAGCAAATTATCTGTTTGATGATTTAAAGCTAACTGCATTCTGGAAGTCTGTTGTTCTTAAGTGGCCTTTGAATCTTGTTCCAGATGCTATGTACCATATGAAGGTCAGAGGATCACAAATGAAGTCCTGGAAAGGAAGTGTTAATGATGAATAGGTTTCTTCATATCAAGGGGTTGAAGAAGTTCATTAATATATGTGACTAATTAACATTGCACAGTCCAGGCATTTTAATGAGAGCATAGCTAGTTCTAGTCTTGGCATTCTTTTTCGTGTGTTGTTTGTCCTGTTCTGCCACGGTTATCATTTCCTTTTACTGAGGTGGAACTGGAACTGGTAGAATGAAGTGCATTGCTAGTTGTTGTCAAGTTCCAGTCTCTTTGCTTCCTAAAATGTTCCACATGTCCTTACAGTTATTTTTTGACAATCAGGCATTACAACAGCAGCAGTGCTATGAGAAGGAAGCAGCCTTGGCTGAGATTGATTATATTCGCAAGAAGTTACTCAAGAAGCTAAAGGAGTACAAAGGCCAGGAGATAGAAGTTATACATGAGGCTACTGCTTTTGCTAGTGAAACAGTAGAAGATAACAACGATCTCCTCCTTCCCCCATATCCAACCCGGCCTTCTTGCTCCCTGATGTCAGACAATGACCATCTTTCACACTTTCCTTCCACCCACAAGTTTGCTCAAAATGGAGTGACAAGAGGTGAAGCAAAAAATGAATTAAAGAAAAGTATCCATGATTCTGAGAGAAATGAAGTGCAATCTGAAACTAATGGCTCATTTAAAGGGGTGAGAATATTCTTCAGCATGGTAGCCAAGTCAGTGCTAACTGTTGTTGGTGTCATTTCTGTTCTGAGTTTGGCTGGGTATGAGCCTACGCTTAGGAGAAGGGGCTCCCAATTTAAGATTCTGGGTCTATCTCGAGGGCAAGGGGCTGTAGACAAGGAAGTAATGGTTCAATGTCCAGCTGGGAAGGTCCCAGTTGTTGAAAATGGTAAAACTCGATGCCTTGTGAAGGAGAGAGTTGAAATTCCCTTTGATCCGGTTGTTGCAATGCCTGATGTAAACTATGGGTGTGGATGAAATGGTATTGATTTTCCATCTGGTGTAGATATGATATCTTTTTGACATAGCATAATTATAACAACATCTCGGTCTATGGTTCTTATTATTCACTGAAATTTGTGATCTAGCTGCAGAAAGTTTGTTCTGAATCGTCTTCACTGTTGAGGAATACAGTTGGAGATTTGTCTATCATTCAAACCCGCACTGTGGCAAAAACTTTAATATTCACAGTAAAATCATTTGGCATCAGAAAAGTGGCGTTGTGCGGGTGTCTAACAGACCAGCCACATTTTTGCTTGCTTGAATTGATTTCTAGTTTCTCTGTACAGGGTCCATCAGCAGGTTGTCTTGTTAAATTCTGCCTTTGAGAGATGCTTAGTTGACGTAATTTAGAGCCACGACTCCAATTCTATTACTACCCATCATGCAACTTGGGATTTCTAGGTTAACACGTCTGTTGTAGTGCTGCGACGGTGGTGCCACACAATTGGTTAGCGGCCCATTCACGGCAGGTGGCCTGGGTCGAATCTCGTTGTCACCCCTATCCCCGCCACCTAAGGAATGATAAACTGTTTTTCTCCCGAGACCGGAAAAGGGTCAGTACCACCGAGATCGGGTGGTAGTGGTTACAGGGAAAACAACATGGTGGTCCATGGAGTGGATAAAACTATTATTGCAGTCACCTGCCCTCATCACCAAAGCAATGTCTAGGTCCGATGTTTTTCCTTGCTGTCTCTGAAAAACGTCTTAGAATACGTAATAGAAAACATTATTCTCACAAATTCTGCGTTCCCAGTGGGTTAATTGTATATTCACCTCATTCTTATTGGTCATTCTTTGAATGATTTTTTTCCCTACGTCATTCAGCTAAGTGGTCAAAGCACCCATTGAAATGATCAACACAGCTGAGAAATCCAAACCACTTTCAGCCTCCTTGACAGCACACTGTATTTGAATCGGGACAGAAAGGATGAAATTGAAAAACAAACTCAACCTGGCTCTACCTGGCCCTGAAAGGTCAATCTACTCTCCTTTAAAGCCCCAGAAAAATTTGAATCATCAATCATCCCAGTTAATTAGATTCCTCATTACCTTTAACACTCTCATCTTCAATCATAAACCATGAATCTCTTGAACACTCACACTCCTGCTTCAAATTCTTTTATTCTCTTCTGCAATGGTGGGTAGTTTCCTTCTGTTATTTTTCGGTTTTTTCCCATCTTCTGTTTTTTGTTTTGTTTTTCTGCCTAACTATATTATCCATTGCAGGAACCAGAATGAGTGGTTTCGTGGATGTCTCAAAGATCTCTGCAACACAAAACCCGGAATTGAGATTCTTAAGTCAAAAGTCTATAAAGTTATCACGGGTTAGGAGGGATGGATCCGGAAGTGCGTTTGTTTGTGGAACTCCAAGCATCATCACAAGTAATTCTCTTTTCTCATATTATAAGCTTATCCCATGTATGTGATTGTGTCTCAAGATATAAATCTTGGTACATGTGGTTTTCGCTTTTGCAGGTGTGAACAAGAATAGAAGATTGGAAGTGAAAGCTTTCACAGAAGAGCAGGAAGCTCTGGTTGTGAAGTCATGGAAGTCAATGAAGAAGAATGCAGGAGAATTGAGTCTTAAGTTCTTCTTAAGGTGGTCAAATTCTCCTCCACTTCTTTCTTTTAAATATTTGCCGTGTTGATTTAAGATAGGGATCAATGGACGTGGCTGACCATTTGTCACGTCTTGTATTTGATGTTAATACAGATCCAAGCGAATGAGTGTTAGTTGTTGGGTTGAATTTGCAGGATCTTTGAGATTGCACCATCTGCACAGAATCTGTTCACATTCCTGAAAGATTCAGACGTTCCTCTGGAGCAGAACCCGAAGCTCAAACCTCATGCTCTGACTGTCTTTGTCATGGTTAGCTCATTTTCTTTTCATCTGTGAATTTGGTAGCTTCTTTAATTCTATTCATCAAGACTTCCCTTCTGGTAGTGGCGTCCATAGGCAAGTCTTGGATTCGACCCTATGACCGCAACCTCAAATCTGGCAAGATAGAGTTGAAAATTTATAGGGAAAATTACAGTCAAACCCTTTAAAATTTGTCACTTAATCACTTATACACTTGATATTTGAAATATTACACACAAATCCCCTTAAGTTTATATGCGCGTAACACTTATACTCCTACCGTTCATTTCTGTTAATATATCTATTAGTAAATTACATCCGACTCTCTGACATTTATAGTCGTGTAACATTTAAATCTCTCAAGTTTAAAATATTACACTCGAACCCCTTATTAGTTACAAAAATTTTGAGTCATTTACTAACTTAGGCATCAAAAAGTCAACCTCTGAAACTCTCCTTCGGTCTCCGACTTCTTTTTCGGGTGATCAAAATCTAACAAACTAACGTGGAGGTCATCTAAATTTTGATACCAACAGTATTAATTATAATTTTTTAAGAATAAATTGAATTTTTATTTTTGATTTGATTTTAATAAATGACATAATACATGAATTTTGGGTGTAAAATTTAAAATATTTAATATTCTATATTTAATTGGAGTATTTTTGTCAAAGTGTAATACTTTAATGTTGAGGGATTTAAGTGTTATATGTTTTAAATTTTGGAGTTTGGATATAATTTACTAATGGATATTAACGGTAGGGCCAATGTTTTACTAGGGGGTCTGTATAAAATATTTTAGATACTAAGGGTTTAAGTAATTAAGTGACAAACTTTACAAGGTTTGGGTGTAAATTTCCCAAATTTATAGTAGTCCCAGGATATGCAGGAAAAGCTCAAGCTTGACGTTTACTTGGCAGACTTGAGCCTGAGATTCAGATAAGAGTGCTATACGAGCCAAGCCTTGGTCAAAAAACCATAAACCCCTGAACAGAAAATTTGAATAGCAGCTGATCTGTGAAATACAGACAGCGAGTCATAACGAAGAACTGAATAAGCCTTTGTGAATTACCACAAATTTGTGATCAGCAAATATTGGGATTTCGTATTTTTTCAGTGCAGAAATTGGAAATTGGTGAGTCCAAAGAAATTGTTTCGTAAGCCTTCTGAACATACTTCAGCTTGGCCAAACCTTCAACAATCAGACAGGACTACCAATCCTTGGCGTGCTTGCGCCTGTGGTGGGAAACGAAGAACCCTGACTTAAGCCCCCTCTTCAGACTTGCACAAAGCCTATCTCCTCTTGATTGATGCAACACAACTTCTTTATTGTGTAGATAGGCATTTTTGGTAGTACTTAGCAATGCAGAGTGGTGGTAGATACTATCCATGGAAGCATGTTTCGAATGGTTGCATTTTAGTGCATAGTAGGCCTAGAATCTGAAAAGATGGTGCATAACGCGCCAAAGATTTTGAAATTAGCTGTCAATTGCAGCAGCTAATATTATATGCATCATAATGCAGACCTGTGAATCAGCAGTGCAACTTCGTAAAGCAGGCAAAGTCACTGTGAAAGAGTCAAATCTGAAAGATTTGGGTGCTACTCATGCCAAATACGGTGTGGTTTCTGAACATTTTGAGGTACAATTTTGAATTTAATTTGCTGTTGTGTTTGATTTATACACACTTTTTTTTTTCCTCCTCTCTCATGTTTCCTCATCAGAGGACTTAAACATTTAGCTCTGTTCGGTTTGCATATTAGGAATTATTTTTCTATTTTTGAAAACAGTTTATGAGAAAAAAGTTGTTTGGCCGGCTGTTTTTTGAAATTTGAGAATAAAAAATAAATAGATTAGAGAACAAGTTAGGATTGCTCGGTGTGTTTTTGGAAACAATCTTTTTAAAATTTAGAAAACACCACCACCACCACCATCGCCACACTTCCACCACCACTATATTTATGCCCAAACAAATTTACTGTTTTGTAGGTTACAAAGTATGCATTGTTGGAAACCATAAAGGAAGCAGTTCCAGAAATGTGGTCACCAGAAATGAAGAGTGCATGGGGAGAAGCTTATGATCAGTTGGTTGCTGCTATTATGGAAGAAATGAAGCCTCCTTCACAAGAATCTTAAATCTATTAGTAAGTTCAAAAAAATAAAATAAATTACCCACTTCATTTTTGAGATATGTCATGTATTTTCGATCATTTTGTTCACTTAAAAACTTTTATATATCGTCTGAAGTTTTGAATTTCGCTTACCAAGTGCTTTAGCTTTCAGCATCATGTCGTAGTTTTTTTCTGTTTTTTGGTGATATTTAAGGGGGGAGTAGATTTAGAATAACTCACTAGCACCTTGTGCTCAAAATCAAGCTCAATTAGTACTGAAAGGTCTGCCTGTCAGTCACTGAGCAAGGCCTGTGCTTGATTTCCTTGATGAAGTAAGTGAAGCTCAAGCTTGACAACAACAGATGAAACTCGTGAAAGTCTATTTGAATGTCAAGGTTGAGATTGATGGTTCTTGGTTCTAAAACTAATTAGGATTAATTATACTGAAAGTCTCTAAAGTATAAATTGTCTCATTTTGATCCCTAATATTTCAATTGCATCATTTAATATGTTTTTATGTGATCCCTCAAATAGACAATATCTAAATTACTAACGATTTTTGATTATAAACTTATCATGTGACCTAAATGTGTGCAAAAAATAATTTGAGTAGATCTTGATCAAATTTTAGTCTAGAACTATTCAAATTATTTTTTTTCTCATATTTAAGTATTACATGATAAATTTTTAATTAAATGAGGGAACGCATATAAATATATGCGATACTTCTTTTTTTTTTAACATGATATATGCAATATTTCAAGGACAAAAATGATACAATTGAAATTTTGAGAACTAAAATGAGACAAATTTCATAATTTGAGAACCTCTAGTACAATTAACCCAAACTAATAAGCCGGCCAACTTCCATTTTTTATGCCTACATTACCTAACCTAAAGTTCAACAATCACACCCTTACTCTTGAACTTGGATATACCTTTTGTTCACCTATTAATTACTAATTTCATTTCAATATTGCTTAGTTTGTCCAAAAATTATTAATACCAGAAATTGTTGTGTGAAATATAAAATTCGCTTCATGATTTACCCATGATGAAACAAATTTGGGTTATTTTTCATTGGATACCCTAATCCAACCCATAACCCATTGTATTTTAAGAGAAAAAGAAAACGAAACTCGCTTTAACAATAAGTAAAATTGAACCCAAATCTTAAATATGCAAAAAAAAAAAAAAAAGAAGTATTTGCCTCTACACAAAAGGTTTGAATCATTTACCTCCAACTTGAAAGGTGGGGTTTTCATTTCACAAGATAAATCGAAGTTTTTTTTATCAATATTTTATGGTAGTTTAATCCAAGATGCTTACATTAAGTCAACAAAACTGTTCCACCCCAATATAAATCATCCATCTAAGCCAAGAATATGGAGAGACAAGCATCTTGTTGTGGATAAGATCACATATTAAAATATAAAAAAAAAGAGATAATATGCCAACTTAAGTCATAGAAAAAGGACCATATAAGTACAATTAAGTTAATCCAAGGAGTTAAAAATGAAATAAATAAATGTCCAGCCTAATTTCAGCATTTCCTAATGAAATAGACCTGTAATTATATAAAATAAATGGGGTCTAAGTTGTTGAAAGTGGAATATGGAGAGATTATGTTTCATTATAGTAAGAAAGAGAAAAATAATTGAGGATAGATGTGAGATCAATGCAATTATTGAGTCAATTTGCTACACAAATCCGATCAGCTCTGCCTATTTTTTTTTTAACCTGTGAAAATGACTATGATAATCTAATTTGGAATAAAGATACAATATCCAAAAAATAATGTTAGGATTAAAAATATTGAGATTGATTATAATATTTTAGGATCAATCTCAAACGACATTATTTTGCCAGTAAAAAAAAAGGCTAAATGACGCTTGCTCGAGATGATTCTTCTTCATTACATTAGAAACCATTTCACATGGTAAAATAAAAGGAAAGGGACCAACCTCAGAGTCAGAGGTGAGTGACAGATAAAAGCTTGGATGTTGTGATTCTGCCGTTTCCAACTGCGAGTGAAACTCCATGAATGAATAGAAAGGGTGTTGAGGAAACCTTCGTCAGGAAGTTTGTCTTTGAGGAATCGCCTGTATCAAGTCATGAGAGATAGGGAAGCCAAACTGCAGCCTATAGGCAAAGGGACGAAAACCTGACGAAGGCCTATGCTACAATAAGAAAAAAAGTTTCTATACCCCTAGGCTACAACTAAATCCATCTGAGTTCCACTCCCTTGCATCTAAATAATGAATACAGCATTTTGCTACACATGAATATGGTAATCAACTGGCCTTTTTGTGCTCACTTTTCCATTATCGTACTCAACTTTCTGGTGAACTTATGGCCACCACCACCACCATTCCCTCTTCTCTTCTCCACCAAAACTCTCTCGCCACCTCCAGAAACTGCCATTCGCCTTGATTTTACTTCTCTTTCATCAGAAAACATCAACTGATGATGATCAACCCCTTTAGTACAGCATCCACACTTATCTCCACCGCCTTGTGTGAGAGCCGCACTGGCTTTAACAGCCAGAGACGCCATATCCACCGCCTGCAGCGGCTGAGTCAACCAACTCACCGGCAGCTCAAAGTAGAGGTTACCTGGCTGAAGCTCCTCATCATCCTCAATGGCTGAAACCGATTCATCAAAATCCATCTCATCAGAGTTGCATATGAAGCTTATAGGGTTATTGTTATATTGCAGAACATGTGAGACCTTCACTGGACATGAGAATTCTTGAAGCTCACCGTCTAGGAGGATCAGTTTAGCCGTTGAGATCGCCGACTGAACTCTCATACATGAGTTGCAATGACCCATGCTTGATGAGTTTGATGGAGTGAGTACGAGAATCTAGTAGTCTTTTGATCCGGAAAAAGTCTCCTGTCCCTCTTCAAACCCATACGGTATTTGATTCCATTCAACGTTTGAGCAACTAATGTAGATATCTTCTATGAATTTCATATATGATTGTAGAGAGAGGAGAGGAAGATACATAATACAGTTGTTGCTTATTTTTTATTTATATAAATAGGTGTTATTTGCGATGCTTTTCTTTGTTGTCACGTTGAATTGAATTTGATGTACGTTTTTTGACTTATATTTTTGACTATCATTAGTAAAGTCAGCAACTCAACATAATTAACCTGAATTTTATGTAAGTTTAAGTAGTAGCAATTACTCATCACCACTTATTGAATGTGTGAAGGTGAAATATACACAAATCAATTAATCATCGTATTCCACTAAGAGAGACACCGCAAACATCTTGACTTTTTTGCAGAGTCGGCAGTGATGGGATATTCGTGCACTTTTTAATTTAGTTCTTGGTCTTTGTCCAACAAAGGAAAAAGAAAAAGGAGCACCGTCTCCGTTGCTACAACAAAGAACACCATTTCAAATGTTTATTCTTAATCTCACCCCATATGTTGTGAAATTCAGCTATATAGGTGCAATCACACTTTAGTTACAAACAGATTCATGTAATTTCCAGAGTAAGTTAATTATAACTACAGTAGTAAAAGGACATTTTTGGAACAATGGGGCAAAAGAGATTTTGTTCACACCAGAGACACTTAGATCCTCATCCAGCATCCTTTGGCTGCAATAGCACTTATGAGACAAACAACAACCAGTCATCCAGATTCCGCAAAAACGGAAATCTCGTGTACTGGATTATTTTGTTTGCAACACACAACCATCAAAGTATTTGTTTTAAAAAAAAGTGTCATTTTGACATCAGCATGCCAATAACCCCAGCAATAAGAGTAGTAGGATCTCCAAGAACAGCAGAGATAATAAATTGGACAGCCAAACCAGCCATCTCACAACATTTCTGCACTTTCTTGCCCTTGCTCTTATGGGGGTAGGTCTGCAGAGTATATTTCAAGCTCGGAATTCTCGTCTCCAACTTCCTGCTATTCCCACGCCATAAATATCCATGCCAGCTCTCCACGAGCATCTCCTTCACACACGCCACATGCAAATTGTACTTTTTGCAGCTGGATCGGTAGCTCCAGCTTCTCCCCTTCCTCCCACATCGGTGACATGGGGCACTAACTTTCCTATACAGATACAACTTCACTTCACCATCATCAAGCATCATAGGGAGCTTCGCACAACACGGGTGAAGGTCGAATCCACACGAATTGCAGTGGTAAACGAAACCAGTGACATCCTTCTCACAGGCGTTGCAGTAACGAGGGGTATTTCCCGGTGGGCGGGGGAGGAATTGGAAGGAGCATTTGGTGTAGAAAAGGTGGCAGATGGAGGTTGAAGGAAGGGCACAGTGAGTGTGAAGATCATAGTCACAAGTGCTGCATTTGAAAAGGGAACCTATACCAACTTCCTTGCAGCCATCACACTTGAATGGAAACTCAGTGTACTCATACTTAAGCTTGTGTTGGTGGCTGAAGTGAGATATTTCATGGTAATTCATGGCTCAATGGTAGGCACAATGAAGAACTGGAGGACCTATATATAGAGATGAACCTTGACTTAAGTATTAGAGATATGATAAGAACCACCAAGAACTCATAATATCCACATAGCTCGGATATATGTGGATGACGATAGGCATAAAGAACATATTGAAGGAATAAGAACTTACTAACGGTTCTAATTCAGGTTTATGATTGGCTTGTTCTTGAAGCAAAACTTGGGGAATTATGCTTATGGATGGTGGTGATAGAGATAATTGAGTGTAAGCAAGAATCCTCTAATGTCAAGATGGGAAGAGGGCAGACAAAAAGCATATTGGTTCATGTCCCACTTTGGAAGAATAATTTTCACTTTATGTTGTTTGCAATCTACTAATTGGTTATGGAATTTGTTTTGATATACACTAGGGATGAGCACATCATGTATGCTATTCCTTGCCCCATTATTTTAAGGATGTACATATGTTCTTCAGCTATATATGTATGTGATCCAAGAGCTAAAAGTCACCAATACTTGTACAATATACTAGGCCAACTGTATATTGCATCATACTGATTTTCAATGCATGTCCATCAGAGGTCAGGTATTATTTGATATATTGCATGAAAAGAATAACTGTTATTCTATGTCTATTGGTTTTTTAAAGCAAATAAAGATGGAATAAGGAACAAAGTCATTTGTATTATTGTTTCTTAATGATCTCTTCATTGTTTCATCTGTAAGGATAACTTAGTTTAAATACAGGTGATATCAACTAGCATCTTCAACTAAACTGCCAATTCCTTATACGTTATCTCATCATTTCCTATTGATTAAGCAATGCTACCTCCATACTTTGGTGTATGATATATAAATGTTTAACTAAATGCTAATATGGAATTGATTATATGTTATAGATAGAGGTAAGACTACAGTATCGAAAGAAGTACTCTATGGAAATGTTTTTATACATACGTGCTATTTGCAACTTAGAAAGGTCATTTACCATTCAATACTCATTGGATTGAATTGTAAGTTCACATTTTTTTCGGTATGATTCCGATACGTAAACCCGTCACTTCTGATACTCCAAATCAATGTTGCTTAAGGTTCTTTGCTTATGAGAATAAAGTTCTTAACTAAATCTTTTGCTTTACACCTTTCTAGTACAGTTAGAGCATCACAATCTGTTTGGATGTCATTTTCCTACAATTACTCAATGAACAAGAACAGCGATGCCACTCTCTCTCTCACATACATATTCACATATGATCATGCATGCATTAATGAACAAGTGTAGTTGCTTGAAAGATGGGTGTTGAGAATCTTGTCCTTATGGTCAAGAATGCTGAATGTTGGGTACAAACAGGCATCAAACAAGCAATAATGCCAGGGTTGTTCTTTTTCTTTTTTTCATGTTTCCTTTATCTTTTTGTTTCTTTTGGTACAAAGAACACCTGGAATATTTTGAAGAAGTTCAAGCAATCTGTTGATTGCCCACATCCAGTCATTTGAAGGTTTTGTACTTGCATGGAGGAGTAAAGGATGAATATGATTCTTTCTCCTGCTTCTTCTGCACTCATTGCCTTTTTAACTACTTGTGTTGGAATGTGTAATGCTTCTTTCTTTCTGTACACATATTTTTATTTACTTGTGTGTGTGTGTGTGTGTGTGTATATATATGAATTGACCTTAATCCAACTTTGAAATTCATCTTTTTGCGCCACAAAATTAGGACTATAAATGTATAAACAATAGGTTTAACCATCTTCACGAGTTGTGGTAGGTTTGTGTACACACAAATTTGGAGTACAAAAATACAGAGCTGAAAATGGAGTCGAATAACAAGTTAATTTGGGTATAGTCTCTTAAGAAAATGTAGTCCATTCTTTACCAAAAGAATAATTCCTCTAATTGTCCACATCAAATGCTTTGGATTCAAGGGCTTCATGAGTTTGATCATCAATGTAGGTAGGGAGTTGAAGAGGTTGACACATGTGTCTAATGCCAATGTACTCGAAAGGATGAGTAGAAAGAATGGATGCGATGAAAAGATTTGAGGTGCCTGTTAAATGTCGGGATCAACTAGTGGACAAAACGTTTATTTGGTAAGTGGAGAGAGTGAATGCTCTCACAACATCCATAATGTCTACCTTGAGATCAGATTATTGTGTGTACTGTAGAAAAAAGTGATGTAGGTATTTATAGCATATGTATTTGAGCAAGTAAGGCTGCCCGCACCTACCTCTCTGTGCAGGGGTTAATGTTGTACGTGATGGTTTTGCCTACCTACAACTGGCTCGACTACAGCTATACCGATGACCGTTCACCGTGTGCCAAGTGTACCAAACATTAATTAGACAGAAGTGATGTTTCCTCGAATACAACTTTGACTCAACTACGGAGGAAGGGGTAAATTCTCCGAGGCAAGGGGAACACCCGAGGTGGAGAATGGCGATTGGTAACCGTGGGAGGGTCTTATCCACTGTGCCCCCAATGCACTCATACTCAAGGTCCTCCCTCCCGATTGGAACCTTTTCTGAGGCCTCTATCAAAGTATCCAATCAAGAATACTCAAATAGTTTTGATCCTTTAGCCACCAATTCACGTCTCATCGTCCCATATTTTGATTTGGATCATTAACCTCTTATACTTTAGCAGTCCCTCTATATCTCAATCAAGCACAACCTAATGGGAAGTGAGTCATGCATTAGGAAACCTTTTCATGCAGACTAAACTTTCAAAATCTTGCCTGAGGCTGAGGTTGGCAATCATGGTCGTTTGCCCCCATTGCCCAGTTCTCCCTCGAGGAGGGTCACATTGCTCTATTCTACTTCACAGAGGGTCATATTGCCTCATCCCAAAGTGGGAACCCCTCCTCTTAGTCCCTTAGGTCAGCTAAGCAACACTATACCATTAGTTGACTTTATCACTGTTGGCATCCAATGGATTGGAGGTTCTCTTGAAGGGGCCTTGTTTCGAGGGTGCCCCTTGAGAATTCACCAGAGATGCTAATCTTACCAATCGCGGTATCCCAGTTATGTGTCTTTATTTCTGCGGTGAGGGAGGCAGATCAAACCAAATGTTGTCCCCATACTTCCGCAGTGTCATTTCACTCCTTCTTAGGCAAGGATCATTTTTGTCGTTTCACCTCAAGTGAAGGTGTGCCTCATCCCTCCACCGTATCACGTTAGCTAATGACCTTTGACAGACTTGCCATTTGTCCTTCTATAGTGTGAACACGTACAGATTTGATTGGCTACTACAATCAACAATACCCTTCCAAAGAAATTTTTTTTTTCAATTGTGAATACATTGAAGGGAACATAGTACAAATATGCTTATTCAATAAAATCAATGGTTGAAATTATCAAGTCTAATTTTTAAATCTACTTTTTAAGTTCATGTAACATTGTTCTTTCATATAATGTATCTCAAGGAAATATTTTAACAGAGTTCTGACTTGAACTTATGGAGACCGGAGACTCCTTGTTTTTTATCATCACAACGTCACCTTTTACTTGGGGATTAGGTGAAATGATTTGAAATTCCCAAATTAAACTTGAATTGAACTTAGAAATTGAGTTATCGTTAGTCTTCCAATAATGTCTCCCTTGTGATTAGACACATGCTATGATGGATCCTCATACATGGATTGGCCCAATTTGCTGTGGAGTATTCATTTCATCTTTAGATGGACCCATATTTTTTTTGGGTTGAATTAGGCCCAACTTTGACATGGACTTTTGAGTTTTCTCATTTTTCTTGGATTTTGATTGGTGAAGAACAAATATGATGTTGATAATGTATTCAGGCTGTTTAGGTGAACTTAAGTCAAATTGAGTCCACTAATAACATTTTGGAAGGGGCTATGCGGGTAATGACACGATGTCACTGTTACACTCAATATTTTCTCACTACACCCACCCTCATTGACCATTATACTCCATTCACATTCATATCTTCTTCCTCTTGGTTTTGCCCAAAGATTAGGTTTATACTCCTCCCTTCAGTTTGGTGCCTTCACAGTGCACCCCTCCTCAAGCGTGGTCACGTGCTACACACGACCACTTTTGTTGGTCCATTTAAACCCCTTATCCTCCATCCGACCCAGTCATAATAACAGCTACAGGTGGTTTACAATATACAAACCAGACCTTTTTTTTTTTTTTTTTATTCTAAAAAAAAAACTCACTCAAGTGGTACACAAGTGAGTGCAATTTACTCTCTCTTTCGCACACTGCAACACCCCTATGGTTTCTTATGACTAAGAGTTGCGATGAAGGATATTGAATTGTCTCGTCAAATGCTGGAATCGATACAGCTAATACGTCCCACAGTATCCACACCAAGATAGCACAAGGGTTAAAGCACATCTGAGGACATACACAAGTTATCCTAGGATAACAAATGCAAAAAACTACTTGAACATCTAATATCTTTTATATAATAAAATAACTTACAATTCAAATTATAAAAGATAAACAAAATAACTTTTGCTATTCGCGGTTGAAATCGCTTTAAATTTTACTTTAAAGTTAATCTAACGGCTAATATTAACACCTTAAATTTAATAAGAAAAATAGGCTCCTAAGGGTGCGTTTAGAACAATTTTTTAAAAGTATTTTTATAAATTATTTTTCATAAATATTTTAATAAAAAAATAGTGTTTGAAACCGTCCCACCACCACCACCGTCGCCACCGCATCCACAACCACTTCCACCACCATCACCATCACCATCACCATCACCATCACCATCACCATCACCATCATTATCACCATTATCGTTGCCGCCATTGCCACCACCATTGCCGCTGCCGCGACCACCACCACCACCACCACCATCACCATCGCCATCACTACGGTCTTACTACCCACCACCACCACCACTATGTCCACCACCTCTCACCCCCGGTACAAACCGATGTTTAAATTCTTTTATCTCTTTTCTATTATTTGTGATTTGATTTTCGATATAAATATAAATATATTTATTATTTACCATTTTTTATTATTCTGTGTCTTCAGGCACATGTAATAACTAGTATAAAATAAAATAACTTTCAATTTAAAACTAAAAAAAATAAACAAAATCACTTTTGTTATTCGCGATTGATATCGTTTTAAATTTTACTTTAAAATTAATCTAACGATTAATATTAATACCCTAAATTTAATAAAAAAAAAAATCTCTAAGAGTGTGTTTGAAATAAATTTTTAAAAATATTTTTACAAATTATTTCTCACAACTATTTTAAAAAAAAATGGTATTAAAAAAAATGGTATTTGAACCACCCCACTACCTCTAACTACCACCACCACCCGCCACCTACCGCCACCCCACCGCCACCACCACCACGCCACCGCCACCGCCGCCACACCACCATCACCACCACCACCGCCACTATCACCATCCGTCATCGCCGTCGCAATTATTGCCACCCACCACAACCATCACCATCACTTCTCACCTCTATTACAAACCGATGCTTAAATTTCATTATTTCTTCTCTATGTTTGTGATTTAATTTTGAATATGAATACAAATATATTTATTATTTACTATTTTTTATTATTCTGTGCCATCAGGCACAGACAATAACTAGTAATCTAATATCTATAAGGTCACAGCCATAGCATAAGAAGAACCAGAATTTAATTCTCAAACAGAAAGAAATCACAAGTAATCGAAGCTGTCACATCTACACAACTCCGCAAATTTCAGGGTTCAGTTGATAACTTGGAAGGGGAAAAAAGAGAAGGATAAGATTGTAAGGGAAGAAAGATATCATAAAGTAATGAGCTCCTTCATCCCAGCTCTCCTCCCCTCCCTGTCAAACTGCACCACAGCCACAGGTACCCCACAAGGCATGAATTAGTACTTATCTGATTACAATAAAAGGAAGATGCGATACAGTAGATATAGCATAAATTAGTACTTATCTAATTACACTAAGAAGGAAGATGAGACACAATAGGTTATATGCACATTACAAGCTATATTTATGTGTTTATGTTTTGGTAGGTAGTGGGGGTGGAGGGGTGGGGTGTGGTTGTACGCAAATTACAAGCTCTCTTTTTGTGTCTATGTTTTTGGTAGGTAGTGGGGTGGGGTGGACAGCAGAGAACATCTTTTACCCATGTCAATTTACTGGTTCTTTAAAATTTAAAAAGTTGGGGCTCAAGCTGAAGGTCCCATTTCACAAAGCACATTCACGTAGTGCATCATTAGTTCGAAAGACTACAACAAAAAAGGTGAAAATATTACTGACAAATATCTCCCCAGTAACAAGTAAAAAACAAACAGAAAATCCTCCCCCCCCCCCCCTTCCTTCTCATCTTCATACACCGAACAATTTTAATTCTTAAGTTCAATTCCACAAACAAAGCTACTCAATTTCCATTCTTAAATCATAATGCTAATCAAATATAACAAAAAATATGTTGAGACTACAAGCCCTACCACCTCACACATGCTATCCCCTGACCCACTACTACCACCCAAGCCCAACACAACATCGTAGGCCACCAACACCCAAACCTCATGCAGCATTGCATGCCACCAATACCATCATCTCTCACCACGCAATGTACCACACACTTGTCCACACCATCATCCACTTCATTTAAATTCAATTCAACCTTGTGCACAGTCCATTCAAAGTTTCAAACCCAAGTCAACATTAAGCATTTCTTATTTGAGTTGTGAATGATTGGAATCAAAGCTCTAGTGTTTACTGCCATGAGGTGTGGTTGGGAGCGATGACATTGCTTCAACGTGGTGCTTAAAACAATCTCTCATCTGTCGTGAGGTTGGTCGAAGGTGGTCCCCGTGGTTGGCGGCAGTGCTAGTGGATAAAGATATACAGAGAGGGATGAATGGTGGCTGTGCTTGTGTGGTGGTGCTCATGAATGATAGCGGTGCAAGGGGATAGAGAACAGCAACAAGAGAATTCGGTGGGTGGTTGCCATGCTCATGGGCAGAGAAACGGAGAGAGTAATCAGGGGGGAGAGAGAGATAGAGAGGTGGGAGGGGCAGATGAGAGTAACAGGAATAGTATAACCATGAATCTCGCAGAATTCCACCTATACAAGCTACTAACTACTGTTAAGTATCCTTAGGCTTTGAATTCATGCCCGGAAGCCGTTGTTTTTAGCTAAAAGTCCAATCAAAGCAAGCATTCATTTTCAATAGTACTAAAACTACATTGGCACCTGTGTTTACCATATGCTTCGGACAGAGCTTTCAGATTTAAGATTGCTTTCCGTATTTTAAGGCCAACAATCACCTCTAGTTGACAGAAAAATCTAATGAGTTCATTTTTTCACATATAATTCATAAATATCAGAATGTGAACAACAGCGTTTTCAAGAGAATGAGTACATATATAATGAATACCCCCTTCTACTATAACCTAAAACCAAAAAAAAAAAAAGAAAGAAAGAAAGAAAGACAATGTAAAAAACAGAGAAGCACAAACAACCGCACAGTTCGCGCAAAGCGATCACAAATAATTGATAACTTTTCAACACGGTTGTTGTAAACAAAAAATACCTACAATCACATCACAAACAGAGACACATCAAACATCAAATACCCACACACACGCAGACACAATATAGAGTCGTTTAATCTAATTACCTCGGAAGAATGAGATGCGAAGAGTTTGGAATCAGAGATCGAGCTTGAGTTCCTCTTTGCTATCAGAAAAGTAGTGGAGAACGTAAGGAGTGACCCGAATCACTGCGACCCATGCCCCGAACATGATCACATGGGTCCTTAGCTGCTTCAGAGCCACCGCTTTGTCTGGTTTTCGTGCAAACATTGACGAAAACATCGTTTCGATTCTCTCTCTCTCTCCGAACAGAGCTAAAACCCTAGCTTTCTGTTCACGCGTGTACAGTGGTTTATCCGCTTTATATCGTCTTGAGGTTTTTATACAAAAACTAGGGCTTCGAGTGGTAAAGGTTTGGCCCAAGAGGATCATGTTGGGTTGAGCCCAAGTCTTGGTTTATCCGAATTGACCCATTGGCCCATTTCTCTTGGATGAACCCAAACCTTGAATTTAAGTCCAAATTTGCCCACCTCAAAAAAATTAGATAATCACATGAAATGTACATTACTTTACATACAGAAAACTACAAGCAAAACGTGAAAAATCATAGATTTGACGCCTCCAATCACTGACCAAATCCGAAACCATTTAAATGTGTTTATATTTTTTTGTAGTATTAGTGTATGTGCGCGTGTGTGTTTTGTTATGTTAATATATTAGTGTGTACGTTTAGTTGTGTCAGTATATGTATTTTTTTTTAATGTATTAATGTGTGTTTCATTTTATGTATCCCCCAAAAGCCTTCACAACTTTCTTATTAAAAAAATGGTAAATGGTGAAAGACATCTTATTAAAAGACTAGAAATGTCAATACAACCCGGGGCATTGCTTATTCTCCACCGCCGGATGTCATCAGGATTTGCGAAAGCAATGGGGTCCTTGGTAACCATCGGTTGATATCCAAAGATCATCTCACCTTTTTTAATCTGAAACGTTGAATTATGGCTGTGGACCACGATGTCCTCCTTGGCCTTGCCGCACTGGAACTGTACCACAAGTTCAATTCTAAGTACTTCACAGACCACTGACTTAGTCAACGTCATTGTTTCCAATGCTGATAAAGTGACCCCACCTTCTTCTTTAACAACGGTCCTGATCTCATCAGAGAGCTGTTGGTGTAAACTCTCTCCTGCTTTGCGAACCCACTTGATCAAGCCTGAGAACAGAGCCTTCATGCTAGCATAAGCATTGAAACCAGAAAGAAACACTAGGTTATGGCAAGCTTCGTCTCTTTTGATGCCAACACTCTCTGCTTGGTCTAAAATCGAGCCTGCCGACGTATAAAATGCATCGTAAAATATTTGATAATTCGATTTTATGAAGAGAAAAGGGAGAGAGAATGTGTGTAACATTAAATCTTCAATGAAGTTTTGGTAAGAACTTCAACTCTAGTGATATTACTGGAACTTGCTGAAAAGACGACCATAGATCAATTAAATTCGGTTCGTTCGATCCGATACTGCTCTCCGATGGATTCAGATCACAAAACAACCGAAAAATAAATTTAAATGACATTTTATTTGAAAAGATATTGAAACTTGCTTTCACTTTATCAGATAACTCATCTTCAAGGTTGATGAATAACTCCCACAAGCAGAGATGGAAAGAGGGTATGGATTTATTATGGAAAGAGGAGAGGAGAGAGAGAAAGAAGTCTTTTAGGACGGCATGAGATGGTTCGGAGGGATCGAGGTTGGCACAAGGGCGATAACTGCCAGTGATGGAGGTGGAGGTAATGAAAGTTCCGTCAAGAACGACGTCGACTTTAGGGTCCAAAGCCATGAATGGAAATGGTGGCATGTTGGTTGATCTGAAGACTCCGAAGAAAGGTAGTCCATAGCTGTAAGGGATTTCTCTGAGTGGAAGATTTGGCGGTGGCTCATCGGCGAAAGAGTGTTGATGGTTGGCCGAGGAGGAGGAAGAGGAAGACATTGTTTAGGGTTTGATTTACAGATATATATTGAATAAATCAATGGCTGATCTCGCAGGCTAATTGTGGAAAACAAAACACTTGAGTTTTCTCTAGTTTATAGCACTCCACGAGAACATATAATATTGCACATAGACTTCACGTGCACATATAATATTGCATATCGACTTCACGTGCACATATAAATACAATATAAATATGTGCACGTGCACATATAAATCACATGGCTGATCGTGTGTAGAACAACTAGTTTTAGGGGAAAAAAAAAAAAAGTTGGGTAAGCCTATTTGACATTCAGTTGAAGCAGAAATTATGAGTATTTATTAAGCGATTATGTGTACTTCATATACGAAAAAAAGGCCCTAATAATATTTTATACTTGAACATTAAATCTATTTTATTTTACGACTAGTTTTTGTTTGTGTTTAAAGACACAGAATAATATAAAATAATAAATAATAAATATATTTGTATTGCTATTCGAAATTAAATCACAAACATAAAAAAGAGATAAAAGAATTAAAACATCGATTTGTAGTGGGGGTGAGAGGTGGTGGACAACAATCTTAGTGGTAGGAGACATTGATGGTTGTGGTGAGTATCAATGACCGTAGTGATGGTGGTGGTGTTGGCGGTGGCGGTTATAGAGGGAATGGTGGTGGCGGCGGCAACAGCAATGGAAGTGGCGACGGGTGGCGGTGGCGACGACGATGACAACAATGGTGGTGGGGGTGATGATGGCAACGGTGGCGATGGTAGTGGCGACAGCGACAATAGTAGCGATAGTGGCGATGGGGGTGGTGGTGGTGGTAGAAGTAGTGGTGAAGCAGTTTCAAACACTATTTTTTTAAAAATATTTATGAAAAATAATTTATAAAAGTACTTTTAAAGAGTCACTCCAAACACACTCTTAGAAACCTATTTTTTCTATTAAATTTAGGCTGTTAGTATTAGCCGTTAGATTAACTTTAAAGTAAAATTTAAAACGATCTCAACTGCGAATAACAAAAATTATTTTATTTATTTTTTGAAATTTGAATTGTAAGTTATTTTATTATATAGATATAATCTAAAAAAATGATATAATTTGTTGATTTAATGATATAATTTATTAAAATCATTGAATAAATACTAAATTTTAATATTTGATAGGACCACGATCAATCTAAAAATAAATTAAAATTGTAAATTATGTCGATAAATTAATGATTGGTATTTTTCGGTTTAAAGAAAACGTCGGTGGTTTGCCTCTCAGTATGAAGGATGGGTGTGTTGAGCAACGTCAACACAGTTTTTCTTGCATTTGGCAATGATCCGTCTTTCTGGATGAGTTTCTTCCAGCCTTGTTGTCAAGAGTCTGTGGTCATCCAGGGAATCAGTCTCCAAGATAATGTTCTTTAGATTCTGAGTTTGGCTGACTTGAAGGTTGTTGAAGATAGCCCATAATTCCGCCAGTGCACTTGAGTAGTTGGTTAGTCGTCCATAGTATCCCATCTGCCAAGCTCCTTGGTCATTTCTAACGATGCCTTCTCTGCTCTTCTATTTCAATCACCCACATGGTGGGTTCCATTGGGACCCAAGAGAGAGAGAGAGAGAGAGAGAGAGAGAGAGAGAGAGAGAGAGAGAGAGTGAGTGAGTGAGAGTGTGTGTGTGTGTGAAGGAGAAGCTTTTGGAGGTAAGGTTGTGAGGATGACTCAGTTTGCAATTTTGGCTGTAAATGTCGCTCACTGCTTTAAATCTCCACAACTTATTATTGCCAAAGCGTAATTCCTCTGCTTCAACACCTTTCTCTCTCCTTCATTCTGTGTTTGTTGTTAATGAAGGCATTCAATACACTAAGGTACGATGGCTTTTGACATTGCTCTTTGTTCTCTTCAACCATGCCCTTTCGCTGTTCAATTTGAACTATTTTTCTCTTCATGAATGAATTCATACATGATTTACGGACTAAATCTTTGACGAACTCGCCACCAAATCCTAAATCCTTTTGATACTTTGGAAAGCTATTTTAAGCAAATTCAAATAATGGAAGAATTTTAGTAAAAGGTTTAGATCAATTTTTGAGGTGAAATCTAATAGAAGTTGAATGTTATCTGGAAATCGTGTTTGCTGACTCCGTTTCTGAATAGATGGCTGCAAAGAGGTAGATTAATGCAAAGAGACTTCTCAAAGCTAAATAAAAAGTAGGTACTGTGAAATTATTGTTTATTTCTGCTATTTTCATTTCTGTTTCATGTTCAATATAGTTTTTTTGTGGAGGGACTTGTGATGATTGAGGAAAGGACCTAAATAGCTCTCAGGTCTCAACCTTACAGGCACCAAAAAGGATATAGGATTTTATTGTTTATTGTTTATTGTTTGAGATTGCATGTAGTAGAATGAAGGCTATGCACAGATGCTCTCTTTTCTATTAGCCTACGCCTCTTTGCTAACTCGATCGTCTACTATACCCTAATATTACTGTTTAAATTTTTGTCCTCAATTTTCTTTTTACATATCATTTTAATTGATAAAATTCAGTCAAGTTCTAATTGTTGATATAATAGGAATAGAATGATTCATTAGATTTTTTAGCATAATCGATGACAACAAAAAAACTTACGCACACTCAAGTGATTTTTATGTTGGCAATGACAATTGAAAGAAGTTCTCAATAAACTCAATTCAAATTTAAACTAATTTGATTTATAAAAAGACCATCAAATTCTAAATAAATTAACAAATAAATAATTTTCAAGTTGATCAAAGTGGTTAGAAACAATATATAGAAAATAAAAAATTACATAGTTTTGTTACACATGGTAAGTTCTAAGACATTTATATATTATTATTAAAAAATAGGTCTCGCATTAGTACATGGAATGTAAAAAATGGAATTTATTGAACCTGGGTTTCAAAGTTTTCCGATTGAATTTTTAAAGAGTTTGAATCTAAAAATTTTGTTCGGGGCCTTGAAAATAAAATTAGACTTAATTGAACCTAAATTTAACAGCCCTAAGAACAAAATTATGTTTTATTAAACCTAAAACTAAATTTTTTTTTTGGGGGCCTTAGGCTAAGGTTTCAGCTGCCTATGAATTCTATATTCCTCAATGATGACTCCTTATAATGAAGAGGCTGTAACAGTTAAAGTCAGGTTTTATCAACACAGAATCATAGTTTTCTGCCTTAATGGAGTCCAGGCAGACTTTAAAAACTGTTTTGAGGCCTGAAATTTTCTCTCTCAGTTTGGAGACACTGGATGCAGTCCAACTGTTGCATATTGTTAAGGCATTTTCTCAATCCATATGTATGTCAGCGATTATGTTACATATGATGGTAAAATGATCTATTGAATTGTGCGGTGTCAAACCAAAGAAAGTGGTGTTCTGTATGTCACAAAGCTTCAAACAATAATATGCAAAATAACTGCTAAAAAAATCATTAAACAACTGCAATTTATGCAAGATGATGTTGAAATTGAACTGACAACCAGTTGGTGACAAGACGAAAGAATTGGATCATGCCAAGCACAGTGATCAGGGGTGCTCTGTTGCTCAGTTTGATTTTCATTGTGGGATAGGCTCAGCTGGTTGTACTTCCTCATTTTTCGGTTAATGTATTTGTTTTGGTGATGAATTTGAGATGTTAATTGTGGAGGCCATTAGTCGTTACCAGACAAGTTAGGCACAACCAAACATTACTAAATGCAGCTATTTGAAGAACATGAAAGCAGCTCTGTACAAAGTTGCCCTCACAGATGGAAAGCTATAAGAAGAAAAACCATTATGCATAACACTTATTTAATTGGGGAACGTCTCTGCATCTATAACTGCCTCAAAAGGAATTTTGGAAAATAAAAGAAAAAAATGGAGGATACAAAAACCCAGTTGGTAGTCTTTTGCTTGTGTGGTACAACATTCTAAAATTTTCATGGCTTCAAAATACTCTCCTACCTTTTTCTTTCTGCAGCTTCATATTGAGACACTGTTGGGAATTCCCTTGCCTGTAAGTCCTCCGACTTTACTCGTATCTGATGTGCTAGGATAGAGCAAGGTGTAAGGCACTTTGACTGGCCCAACTCGGTTTTTCCATCTCTTGTCATTGTTTCTATCCATTATTCTGCCTTCGATTTCTATCAAATTTCTTCCAAATCTATCAAATGCCTCTCTCGGTTCAGCCTCAGAAGTCCATTCAGGAGTGTCTCTCTGCCCTAGATAAATCTCATCTGAAGAATGCCGGGACAAAATCTCTATCAGAGAAACACCTAGCAGGGTTTGGAACTGGCTTGTGATTGTCTTCAGGAAGGCCCTATCAAAGTTTGACTCAAGCTCAGCATAGTCGGGAGTGCCTGGCTCAGGCATGAAGCGGCGACTTATGGTCGGGCGGTTTGGAAGGTAGCCAGCATAAGAATATTGCCCGAAATTGACAGCTGCATGTAGAGCAGAAGCCACCCATATGATAATGGTGCAGGTTTGGATGAGTTCATCTTTTTTCTGCATCTTAGGCCACCATGGCTCATGTTTCTTGTCACCATGGCCCACTTCCCGGAGCTCCTTCCACCATGCTTGAAGTTCAGAGTCGCTTTGGATTGTGTCATTTGTAGGGTAATAGAAAGAGCAATATTCTGTGACCCAGGTTTCGATTGCAGACCAGATTTCAAGCCCATCAACTGCATAAGGATAATCTTCTATTAGAAGTTTGAGCCCATGTGGCTGGCTTGAGTCTGGAACTGCCACTCCTCTGCAATAAACCAAAAGGGAAACAAATTCATTGTTGGGAAAGATCCAAAAATGAGAACATTGTTGTTCCGGTGAGGCATGGTAACTAACCGTTTGAGCAGATCAGTAGGTAGTGCCTGGTCTGTGAAAACCCAGTTCTTGTATATAAAAGAAGACATTTCCATGGAAAATTTTGTTGGAAAGACTGTCATCTCCATTACCCCACCTGCATTGATGAGGGTTTGCCGACCCAAGGCATTTATATGCATTGTATCACGGAAATGGGGATGAAGAAGCTTATAAATTGGGTGAAGCACGCTTAATTGTCTGTTTGTTGCAATCACAAACGGTTCTATTACTGCATGGGTATTTAACCTGAAACCGAAATTAGAATCATTTAAGATATGCATTGTTAACTACTGAGAAGCTTCTAAACATTTGCCTAACTTGAATTTGCAGCATTCCATTTTTTATCCCTCAAGCATACCAGTGGCTAATGAGCTGATGATAGCCAGAATCATTTACAGCAGCATAAGCTTTGGCTAGCTGCCATACTGAACCTTCAAGTCGATGCTCTGCTGGAGTGAAGACTTGGCTGGTGACTCCATATTTGACTCCTTGTGGATGTGGTAAGCTCAACTCAATTGCCAGTGGCTTCAATGTCCCATTGTTTTGGAGTAATAGGATCGTTCGGCTGGCATAAGTCTTTGTGGTAGTCGAGTTAATGTCTTGCAGGTAAGGCATCAGTGCATCATGATGATCTAATATGAAGAGCTTGTTATTCTCAAGTGCCTGTAATTGCACAAAATTACTAAAAAATAAAATAAAATAACTTATATTAAAACTGCAACATGCACACACAAAACAAAATGCCATAGACTTGGAAGTATTCTCTTTTTTTTTTTCGTTTTTAACCCTTAATTTACTAAGTAAGTGAGCATCAAATGAATTAGGAATAAAATACTTCATCCACAGGGAGCCCATTCATGTTCTTCTCTATGTGCTCCCTTTTGATTGTACTGGTTTGATTTCCATATTCTTCAGGGTCAAGCTTGCTGGCAGGTGGAAACTCCTGGTATGTCGAAAATCAGTGAACGTTCTCGTCAGAAACCAAAATTCTTTACCAGGTAACTTCTAGAATGAAGTTTCGTTTTACCTGCAGGCGACGAATGATGACAGGGTTTACTCCAGCAAGCATTTCCCGTCCAAATTCTTCATCTGTCCTCCAGGCAGACTTATCCTCTGCAAGTATCGAGTGAAACTTTACAATCTTTAATATTAGTGATATAAGTGTACCATTAAGGCTCTAAAGCTTCAAAATACCACAAAAATGAAATATTTAAAACTCTAGTTCATAAAAGCCAAGTGAGATAGGGAATTTATTTATTTTTACCTCTGATTACATCAGGCATTGGGAGTTTGAATGGTCGCTCCCCATCGTTACGTAGGAATTCCTTAAGCATCTCCCATGGGATGCGTTCCCTGAGTTTGTTTAGTGTCTGCCCATTTGGTAGCTTAACCCACCTTCATAGAGCTTTAGTACCGCTTGGAAATCGTTAAACTCGTTAGGACTTGTGTCAAGTGAACTGATCTCTGAGACCAATACCTGACCTATAGATTTGAAAGCATAAGCAAGGAAATCTGAAAACTTTACGTTATTGAATCGTTCATCCCGTGGAACGTATATGTCTAGATTAAGAAGTGGCAATCTGCTTTCACTGTTAGGATCTGTAAATACAATAGAAAAAAAAGAGCTGTTGATTAAAAGTACTAAAGCTGCCTAAAAACAAAAAAGTGAAAGAAATATGACACTTTTTAAAATTCAACATACTTTCTTCCATCAAAGTTTCTGAAACAAGAAGAATTAAAACTGTCGGGATTTAACAACAATTTAAATTTATTAACAAACATACACAATCAAAGAACAAATCAAGAATATAAAACAATAAGGAAGAATAAAGAATAAGACACAAATTTTACGTGGTTCGACAATTTGTCTATATCCACGAAGCTGCAGGGATTTCACTATTAAGAGAGTTGAATACAGAGAGTAGCTGTACAATCTACTTTATTAATTCTAATCACCAAAACAACGGGTTTTATATGTCCTACGCACTCGGCTATATAACGGGCCCAAAAATTTCCCTCGGAATGAGTGCTACGGCTTGGGCCTATCGGCCCAAGCTTCGCTCCATGGACTAAGCCTCAGAATATTTTTCATTAAAAAATCACACAACATTACTTCGGGTTGGGTCATCGTCTGAATCACATATACAAACTAGACTCCACAAAAAACCAACAAAAATCACCTAATATGACTAGTTATCAATCATTAAATAAATATTTATATAACTCCCCTCTATAACAACTTAAACTTTAAGAGTAAATAGTTGTTTAATATAATTTTTCTCCTATAAACAAAAAAAAAAAAATCACGTTGATGGACCGTACTTTTGGTGCAGATGATTGTTTCTAAGAAATATATCTTTTTCACTTCTAACCTTTTTTTGTGGGTGCACGACCTGTTCTTCCTCTTCGGGGGTATGGAAACTTCTCTGATCCACCAAGCACAGGACGTTCATACTCTTTGCCTTTGTCTGGACTTCCCAAATCATTGTAGTATGCATAGTCATAGACTCTGTCCCACTCATTGAGCTTTCCCGATCCATTTCCACGAAGATTAATGAGTTCTTCTTCTCTATAAAGGCGTAGTGGTTCTGGAGTGTTACATGGCAGGTAGGTCTGATAATAGAATCATGATATTAGTCAGTTGGTGTCCATATTTCTTGTCTTAGTTCACACTTTAACAGCCAAACAAACATATTAATGTCTTCCTGATACTATGGTTGGCCACAGAAAAGTCAATCTGATTTTGCCAAAGAAAAAGAAGTATGATAATGAGCAGCTTTGAATTATTGGGGACAAAAACTACTCATCATATGAAGTGTATTAAAAATATGGGGCCATATTTATTGCTTCAAACAAGACACAAAGAAGTGGGTGGTGTACCTCTCTCCTTTCTAATATTACCATAGATAATAATCATACATTATTTTTAAGTAAAGTCAAGTGAAAAAAATTACCTTGTTTGCAAAGAAGACACGATTGTATTTGTAACGATGTTGTGGGTAAACCCAAGAATTACAAATGAAGTGGATTTGACCATGTCGGGGAACGTCTTCTAGGGTTACTGTCTTAAGGTAAAACTGACTGTGATGGAAATTTTTTATGATGAAAGCCCCAGGAACACCCATGGATTCATCCCACTCAAATAAGATGTTGAATGTAGCGTCTTTGGCCGATACAGAAGTGAGTGTTGAAACCCAGTTCTCCAGGAATGCTGCTTTTCCAAGCTCCCCTTTTAATCCTTTTGCTGATATCAAATGTGAAAACAAAATTGATGAATTCAATAACATAGTTTGCTTATTATGATTCTGTTTCTCTTTTACTATTATCGAGAAAAAAACACTGCATCAAAATTGTATATTTCCAAGCCGAGGTTAACAAATTAGGCTCAAAAGTATTAGAACCATTCGAAGGACATGCATAGGAGATTTGAGTTCTCATATTTGAGTTAAATTTTGGAAACTAAGCTGCTTTATTTGGTTGCAGGGGAAGCACATGAGAGAAACTCAAATGTCATCGTAAGTCTCCTTTTCTCTTCTCCAGCAAGACTATTTGTTGTAAGTGAAAATCACCATGACCAACCTCTCTTTCTCTCAACTTTCATTTCATATGCATTTAAAGACGTTTTCCATGTTCTTATATACAGATGTATAGCTAATAGAGATAGAGAGGGGGAACTTACCTGGGTCGCCATGAACGGCGCTGATGAGCTGAAGTGAGACACGTTTGCCAAAGAGCTCATACACCCGGTCAAGAAACGAGGCACCCGCATCATTCAAGTCCAAGACATTCTTCTTCATCAACTTTATTGTCCCTTTGATCTTGGTAACCTCAATCTTATTCTTTTCTTTGGGCTCGTCTTGAGCCTTTCCACAGATTATTTGTAGCGTTTTCTCCAACATCTCTGGTATAGAGCAGTGACCCATTTGAAAAAGCCCCTTACCAGAATAGATTCAAAAGAAGGTATGAACTGGAATGTGATTAGGAAGAGAAAACTTATTGTGTACAGCGCGAATAATAGCTTTCTAATGTAGTAGTAATGTCCATGTTCTTGGTGTTTTAAATACCCACTTGAGGGACAAATGATATATATGATGGTGGGGTATTATGAAGTTTTAAAAAAAGCTGGGGGGGGGGGGTTGGTTTGATTCCACCTTGGCCATCCCATCTGGCTTTGTACCAAACATGTTTGTAAAGGATTATCGTGTGTGAATATATCTATATCTATACTAATTTAAAATTGGCATCCTGTCTTTTATGTCCTGCGTGAATATTTTCAGGACGTTCCATATGCGAGCTTTTGACTGGACTAGAGTAGTTGGTTATATGCGAACACAATTGGCGTGCTGCTTTCTAAGTTGTGTTTGATCTTTTGAGGAACTTTCTCTGCATTCCGCTTCCTCATAATTTTGCCTTTTGTGGTGGTTTCTTCATTAAAGAAAAATGATTTTTATTTTGAATTGATATGAATTTTTATATGGATTTGTCATCTACATGTAGATGTAAACTCATTGTAAGTACGAGGTTTAGTATTTCTATCGTTAATCTTTGTTAAATCATGCAAGTTTTGAGAAATCAGCACACACAATGGTAAAAAGATCACCCTTAGTTGTTGAGTGGGTACATGCAAGTATAATACATCAACTAATAACAAAATTATGGACCTTGTTGTAAAAGTTAGCAAGTTGGTTTCATAAGGCTATATAGTTGGTCAATTATGAGCTAATATAATAAGATTAGTCCAAAAAATTAAAAAAAGAAGCTAATATAATAAGAGGTTAATAAACAGTTTGATTCATTTTACGATTCGAATGGAGATAGTTCAAGTGATAACAGGAACGAGTTATAAATTTAGATGTCTTGAATTCGAATTTTGATAATTTTTAGGGGTAGATTATGAGGAATTTATTTTTCATGAATACTTTACTCCTGACGTGAATAACTTGTCTTTAATGGAACAAAAAAAAAAATTAGTTAAAATGTGCATAAATTTGTCTCTAAGGTCCTACCGTTGACGAGAAAGACTGAGATAAGAGGCTGCTTAAAGAACAACTCCCGTGTTGCGGTCCATAATGCTGGCATTATGCACAGAAGATTGAATATTTCCGAAGGGGTGTACGTGTGTGTAACCTGTAACCAAAAGGTGGTTGTATTAAATTAATGGTGGGTTCAACCTAACCAATAAAAAAGCAAGAAAATCCATTATGACCAGCAACAAATGAAAAGCGAAAGAAGGAAAATACTGTTTGGATTTAATTTGGAATTTAAGTTACTGGAATCTTTAGATTGGAAGTCTATTTTATTTAATATCTGAATTATAAATAATTCAATTGTTGCATAAAATTATGTTCTTAATTAGGTCACTATAGTAATGTTCACGAAAAGAATAGTGTTTGTAGAAAGAGCAATGTTATACCGACTTAATCAACGATCTAATTCAATACAGCAGTTAGATTAATTATAATGTCTAATGTTAGATAAAATCCACTTTATAATTGAAGACTACATTAAATTACGTCCCCAAGTCTCAAAATTAGATTCCTACAATATAAATGCTATTTTACTATTGTATCTATATATATAATATAAATGCATGGTGTATTGCATGTTTGATTATTTCAATTGCCAGAAGGGCTAAGATTAAAAAACAAAAATCCCATTAAATAAATGCACATGGAATAATTGATTGGGATAGAATTGCTATAAAATATAGAGATTATATGCAACTTGGTCAATGTTTGAATATAACTTATGATAAATTCCAATTGACCACATGAAATAGTCTGAATGTGTTTTTTTTTAAGGTCTCTTAAGTATGCACCAATTAGTAATCAATCAACATGTTTTAATTTAGTTCAAATCACGATAATTAGTCGTTGAGTTCAAGAAAATAATTGACACAAACTTGAATAATAACCTGTAACTAAAAAAAAACTCAACAATCAATCAAAAGCCCCAACATAACACGATATATAATCCTAGTTGTATAAATTTTGCAATTTGGATTAGTTTGAAATGGACAAGGTGAATCCAGACAAAGACTATAACCAATTTGGAAGTCTAAATTTTTTTTTAGGGAGAATTACGTCAACACTTTTTAAAATTTGTCACTTAATCATTAAATCCCTGACATTTGAAATATTATACGGCAGATCTTCTGAAATTTGTCACTTAATCATTCATGTTTTTGACATTTAAAATATTACACAAAGATCCCTTAAAATTTGTACGTGAGTAAAACTTAGA